TCACCAGTCACATCCATAACTGGATGTGTTGTGTATGTGAACCTGGGGAGTTCGTCTTTCAGTGTCATATCTTTTTGCCTTTTCATACTGCTCATGGGGTTTTCAAGGGAAAAATACTGAAATGGTTTGCCATTCCCTTCTTCAGTGGACCACGTTTTGTCAGAACTCTCCACCATGACCTGTCCTGCTTGGGTGGCCCTACATGGCATGGCTCATAGTTTCATTGAGTTAGACAAGGCTGTGGTACATTGTAACAGGTAAAGAGAGAAAAATCAAACTTAGAACTCAGATTTCAACAGCAGGCAACTGGGTGCTGGTGGACTCATTAACTGGGATAGTAAATACTGGCATAGGTATTAACTACAGTCCTAAAAGATGATGCTGTGAAAGTGCTGCACTCAATATGCTAGCAAATTTGGAAAACTCAGCAGTGGCCACAGGACTGGAAAAGGTCAGTTTTTTTTGCAGTCCCAAAGAAAGGCAATGCCAAAGAATGTTTAAACTACTGCACAATTGCACTTATCTCATACTCTAGCCAAGTAACACTCAAAATTCTCCAAGCAAGTCTTCAGAAGTACGTGAACCGAGAACTTCCAGATGTACAAGCTGGATTTAGAAAAGGTAAAATAACCAGAAATGAAATTGCCAACATCCATTGGACCATGGGAAAAGCAAGAGAATTCAGAAAAACATCTAATTCTGCTTCACCGTCTACCCTAAAGCCCTTGTATGGAACACAACAAACTGGAAAATTCTTCAAGAGATGGGAATACCAGACCACCTTACCTGCCTCCTGAAAAATCTGTATGCAGGTCAAGAAGAAACAGTTAGAACCAGACATGGAACAACGAACTGGTTCCAAATTGGGAAAGGAGTATGTCAAGCCTGTATATTGTCACCCTGCTTCTTTAATGTAAATGAAGAGTATATCATTCGAAATGCCATACTGGATGAGGCAGAAGCTGGAATCAAGATTGCTGGGAGATCAATAATCTCGGATATGCAAATTACACACCCTTATGGCAGAAAGTGAAGAGGAACTAAAGAGCCCCTTGATGAAGATGAAAGAAGAGAGTGAAAAAGTTGGGTTAAAATTTAACATTTAAAAAACGAAAATCATGGCATCCAGTCCTATCACTTCACGGCAAACAGATGAGAAAACAATAGAAACAGTGAGAGACTTTATTTTCTTTGGGCTCCAAAATTACTGAAGATGGTGACTGCAGGCATGAAGTTAAAAGATGCTTGCTCCTTGGAAGAAACATTATGACAAACATAGCATAATATAAAGCAGAGACATTTCTTTGCTGGTAAAGGTCTGTCTAGTCAAAGCTATGGTTTTTCCAGTAGTCATGTATGGATGTGAGAGCTGAACCATAAAGAAGGCTGAGCACCAAAGAATTGATGTTTTTGAACTGTGGTGTTGGAGAAGACTCTTCAGAGTCCCTTGGATAGCAACGAGATCACATCAGTCAATCCTAAAGGAAATCAACCCTGAATATTCATTAGAAGGACTGATGCTGAAGCTCCAAAACTTTGACCACCTGATGCGAAGAGCCGTTAGAAAAGACCCTGATGCTGGGAAAGATTGAAGGCAGGAGGAGAAGGGGACGACAGAGGATGAGATTCTTGTATGGCATCGCTGACTCAATGGACATGAACGAGCAAGCTCTGGTAGATAGTGAAGGACAGGGAAGCCTGGCGTACTGCAGTCCATGGGGTCACAAAGAGTCAGACACAACTGAGTGGCTGAACAACAACACTAACTACAACATCTGGCAGATTGACTGTCAAAGAGGAGGTGCCCAATACCCGCTGAATGAATGAAAGATACCTAATAAACCAATGATCATACAATTGTGGATGAGAACATGAGTAAGTAGGGCTGATTTATGGATAAACTTTGTTGAGTTTTGACAGATATGTATATCTAGGGGAGGTAGAGTAGGAGGTTGTGAAAAAGAAATGCATAACAGAGGGTACCAGCAAACAAAAAACCCACAAAGGTTAGAAAGTTTACGCTCAGCTCCAAAAACAGTACAAGGTTCAGTTTAGCTTTAGAATAGTGAGAGATGAGACTGTAAAAAATGTGGGCTCCATGATGTTCTGTGTCTGAAAGCCAGTCTGAAGAAGCTTTAATTAATTAAGGAGGTGACAGTGAGTCCTGGCTATTGAGCAGGGGTCTTCCACGATCTTTAGGATCACTTTCTTTTGGGAAACTTTTATAGCAGCACCGGGATAGGATGGATTGGAATGGGAAGAAACCTAAGGGGAGGAAGATCGGTTAGAAGGATATTATGAAGGAAGAAGCAAAGATCAGGAGAAGTCCTGAAGGTCCCGTGGTTTGTCAGGCAGGAACAGATTCAAGGGATATTCAGGAAAAAGTCAACATGCAAGCTCAGGCCCCAGATTGGGATGGACAGAAGTTAGAGTTGGATTTGAGATGGAATCTGGGTGACAAAGCATTGTCGCCTCAATGAACAGCAAAAACTGAAGCCAGGAAGGTGAGCAGTTTCAGGGGAGGACAAGTGCTTCTGAGATGCCAGAAGGAGACAGCAGGACATGGAACACTGCACTTCAGAAGACAGACTGGGGCCCCATAGTTAAAGTTGGGAATCACCTGATATAAGTGATGATGAGGTATGTCAATGGATAAGATGGCCAAGGAAACAGAATGAGCCCAGGAAGAAAAAGCCAGGAGTGGATGCTTACCCTTGGCTGGGTGAGGCGGGAAGTGAGGTAGGAAGTAGAAAGAGGAGCAGTCAGAGAGAGAAAAGATTAATCTGGGAAATGTGCTTCTAAGAGGACAGGAGACAGAGCTTCAAAGGAAAGAGTGGGTCAATAGAGAGCTGGAGCAGAAGAATTGACAGGGGAGGTAGCTGGTCAGGGCTGGAGAGGGAGGCTGTGGAGGAGGGCACGGGGAAGATGTACTTTTCCATAGTGTTTCTAACGCGAGAGTCAGGGGTAGCACTGGGATGGCTCCCACACTGTTATCCTGTGGGTTCATAGAACCCAGGAGATCCATCTCTTCTCAGCAGTCACTGGAAAAACGGGTCACAAGTATGGGTACAAATCAGTTTAAGAACCCTGAGATCTGAAATCTAATTCATGAACATTCCCGGGTCTTATCCTGTCCTGAGAGGAAACAGTCAAAGTTAAAATGACCGTTTTGTACAGCAGCGTGTGTGCCAGAGCTATGGGCGGCACTGGGTAGCACCACAGTATAACTGAACCAACCATTCTCTTACTAATTTGAAATGCTACTTTTATCGGAGAGTAAATCCCAAATGGCTTTTTGTCTATACCTGGACTCTGTTTCATTTCATCTTGTACCAAACCTCCTGGTATTTGATTGGGATTGCCTTGAGTTCATGAATTTATCTGTGAAGAACTGGCATGTTTTACAATATTCAGTCTACAAAAAAGAGGGGGGTACTTAAGCCTTCTTCTATGCCATTTAGTGAAGATAAGTACTTTTTCATAGAGGTCCTAAGCTTGTCTTTTGAATTACTATTGTTAGTGGTATTAGTATTATTTTTTGTATTTTAAGTGTGTGTGTGTGTGTGTGTGTGTGTGTAAATAAGAAGGATGTAGGTGCTTTCTCAGATAAGCAATATGAATTTTAAAAAGCAATCTAAAGCAAATGTAAATCTTTAATAGCATCTGACCTTCACTGAGGGCTTCCCAAGTGGCTCAGTGGTAAAGAATAGGCCTGCCAATGTAGAGATGCAGGAGACATGAGTTCGATCCCTGGATCGGGAAGATCCCCTGGAGGAGGAAATGGGAACCCACTCCAGTATTCTTGCTGTGAAAATTCCATAGACAGAGGAACCTGGTGGGCTACAGACCATGAGGTTGCAAAGAGTGGGACATAGTTGAGCGACTGAGCATGACCTTCACTGAGCTGATACACAGGTAAATAAATCATTTTGGATAAGACTGTTATTAAAATAGAAAAAAATGTCATTTATTTTACCTGTATATTGCTAGTTTTTCCTTCAGTAAGATAAGCTGTGGCTATGTATGTTAAAATGTGGAGTCTGTTGAGCCCTCCCCATCCCCCGCCCTGCAAATCACGTTTATCACAGGTATTGTCACATGGTTTGATGTAACTGGGAGTAAAGAAAGGTTTCAGTTTTATCTTTTTCTTCATCCTAGTCCTTTGGAAATTTTCAGTCTGAAAAAAACGTAAAACTATCTAACAAGTCCAGATAAGGAGTCAGGAAACTTTTACTGTAAACCACCAGAGAGAAAATGTTTTAGGCTTGTGGGCTATACGGTCGCTGTTGCAGCTACCTAACTCTGTTGTTGTACATGAAAGCGGCCATAGACAATAAGTAACTGAGACTGGTTGTGTTTTTAGAAAAAATTTTTAAAATATTTATTTATTTATTTGGCTGTACCGGGTCCTACCTGTGGCATGAGATCTTCTATCTTCATCATGGAATCTTTAGTTGTGGCATGCAAACCCTTAGGTGCAGCACATGGGATCAAGTTCCCTGACCAGGGACAGAACCTGGGGCCCCTGCCTTGGGAGTGTAGAATCCTAGCCACTGAACCACCAGGGAAGCCCTTCTAACAAAACTTTAATTATAAAACCAGTGGTGAGCCAGTTGTGGTGCATAGGCCAGATCTGGCCTATGACTCATGGTTTCTAGATCCCTAGTTTAGACCAGTATACTTCCAAATTTTTCATTATCTGTGCTTCGAAAAATTGAAAGCAATGTACTTGTCCCCATGGAACTAAAGATGACAGGATGCAAAGTGCTGGAGTGAACAAAACAGAGCAAAATCACCAAAATGATTTTTTATCAATACTCCCATAATGAGTCTGAGCATAGATAGCCTTTATCGGCTTTCTGAAACACAACTGGGATCATAGTATATAAAAAATATACATATTATATTGTGGTGTGGTCACTGCTTTGAGGAGACAGAAAGAGGTGAATGAAAACAGAAAACCATCATTATTAGTAATGGGAACATTTGCTGTTACTTACCAGTCCTGTACTGCATTGAAGGATTCTTCATTTGTGATGTCATACATTAAAATAAAGCCCATGGCCCCGCGATAATAGGCTGTGGTGATAGTCCTGTATCTTTCCTGGCCTGCTGTGTCCTACAAAATAAAAATAACAATCTCTCAAAAACTGAAGCAATATGTCTTTTGGGGAGTGATTAGTTATTACCCAAATAGTCATACAGAGAGTTTACATTGTACTTGCAATGTCTAGCTGTACATGTTTTTCAGTCTTGTTTTTCCTAATCATTTTCATAGGGCAGCTCCGCAATATTATGAGAAAATCTTTTTGGGGGTTAAGGGGTAGCTCAGAGTACCTCCTACATTTGTTCATGCCCATTAAGCAACACCTAACTATAGAAAAGAAGATAGTTCATACATATAAAAATCTGTGGCTTTTTGTATAGTTTAAAACCAGGGGAGTACATTAACTCCATCATTATGTACTTACTGTCTATCTGCCAAGTACAAGCCTCTGTGGAGGGAAAAAAGAGATCTAGGAAAAAGTGTCTGCATTTAAAAACTTGCAGTGTAGTTTCAGTTTGTTCAACAGTAAAAAATGAGAATAAAAATACCTGCTTTGTATGAGTGTTTGAGTTGAACTTATGAGGAGTTCCCAGTCGCCCATTAGAGAGCCAGGGGGACATGCACAAACCACTGAACCTCTATGAACTTGAGCCCCCTGAAGTCTAGCATGTTTATTAGGGTGACATGATATAATGTATTGGAAGTGCTTCATAGAGCCTGACACTCAAAAGTGGTCAATAAACAGCAAGAACTGGCTGTTACTCCTGAAATTTGGGGAGGTTAAATCTAACACAGGATGGCACATGGCAGCTTACAAATGCAGGTGTTCAGAACCTGCAAAAGAGCCACGTGCAGCAGGGAAAACCAAGAGTTAGAGGCATCCCTGAAATGACCTGTATTTGCCATGGACACTGCACAGTGTAGCTGAAGAACTTATTATTCAACTAAGTCTCACCTTTGTCTTCTTAGGACCTGGGGTATCACTTAAAACCCAGTGCTCCCTGGTTCCCCTCTTCGCCACTTTCCCAGGAGATTGGGCTCTGATTCTCCATCCTAGTAGTCTCGGATTTTAAAAGGACAGAGATGTTACCTTCTCTCTGACTTCAGTCTGGGTCCTCTTTCCTCCCTTCTCCCAGAGATGTAAACAAAATCCCATTTTGTAAACAAAATGGATCCCATTTCCAAGCCCTGAAGGGAAAGCTGATGTGTTGGATGATACAAGAAGAGGTTCCTTTCACATCAAAATGAAATGTACATCTGGGTCTCAAACAGATTCTCGCTGGACATGTCATTCCTTGCCCGTAGCCCCCCTCCCACTCAGATGCATACACGACACTTCAAACTAACAGCAGGAAATTCAAGACTGCTCGCAGTTTTCTCCTAATTTGTGTGATTTATTCTATTTGGCCCCTGAAAACTCAGAGAAGGGTGACTAAAGAGGCCAAGGAAATCAGCAAATGATTTCAGGAGAATGTGGGGGTGTGAAATAAAGCTTGAAAATTAGCAAAGGGTATGACTGTGCATGAAGTCAGAAACAATTATATTCTAGTTTGTGGAGTACGGATAAGACTGGCCTGATTAGAGGTATTTATTAGGTAATGTTATTGAAGTAAGTTTCCAAAGGTAAGATGAAAAAGATTATGGTACTCAAAATAGCAAAAATGAACCAGAACAAGCAAGGAAGGTCTTTCAGAACATACCACTAATTGGCAGAAAACAAAAAGAAAGTCTAGATTTCACCACATGAAAATCTGACCATTTCTTGAATATAGGAAAAAACTCTTAAAAATAAAATTGAAATGATGTGAATCAGATAATATTTGATTATTTTACTGTACTTTGCTTAGCATTTTATAAATATGAATGTGTAGATGTTAGCAATAACCTTGGATATCAAAAACTGCATGTAATTGGGACAAATGTACAAACTTATCAGACAGGAAGAATCCAATCTTCAGCTTATTTGGATATTCTTGGATATTCATTGGATCTAATTCCTTTAACAGTATATCCAGTTGTTAAGTAAAGAGGAAAGTTAGAGAATGAAATGAAATGGTGTTTAAAAAGCAAGGTATAATCAGAGATTGTGTAATATATTTTAGCTCTCTGGGGGACACAACCCCTTACAACTAGTCATCCTATTTTAAAACTTGGGCACTTTTTCTTGGGTTCATAATTTTTCAGAATACATTATCTATAAAATTACCTTTTTTTTCCCCTACTGTGAGGTAACTTTAAAAAGCTTTCTTTATCTCTTGGTAAAATTGACTGAGTAGCCTTCTTATAGGTTGGGAACCGCTTTCTGCTGCTTTTTCTAGACAATAGACAGCTTTCCCCTAATTTCTCATAGGAGAAAACAGCCAATATGCCCGAGCCACTGTTAAAAGGTGACCCAGACCCTTCCTGTCAAGCATGTCTTCAACACAGACACTGAATAATGTTGTGTTGAAAAACTATGACATTATCTCTTTCTTCTTGACCTCCTTCAGTGATGGCTTCCCTTTTCATAAGATGTTAATTTTATTTTGACAGTAAAGAAACTAGGTCTAGTGTTATAAAACACATCAACTTCACACTGTGAGTGTATTTCATCTTCAAGGGAGCAGAAATCAAGGTTGTGTTATATTATGATTGAGATGTTACAGGAAACCACAGGGTCACACAGCCATATGTATCAAAATTTAAAAATAGAGAGGGGGACAAAAACAGCTTTCAAGAAAAAAACAAAAAAACAAAAAAAAAAACAGAAGCTTTCAGACAGCAGTTAAGTCACAGCAAGGGACAGGATCTTCCACAGGATTCTGACTTGAACCCAGAAACACAATCTAATTTGAGGTAGCTGTCACCTAAAAGCTCTCAAGGAGAATAGGAAATTGCACCAAGTAAAGGACATGTAGTAAGAAACACAAAGAGGAAATTTTCTTTCCAGATGCAAAGAAAATAAAGAGTAAAACTAAGCTAATAAACAGACACTAAATTGGCTCTGCATTGATTTTGAGCATTGAAAACAATTTTAGGATTCCAAACTCATCAGCACTTTCTGTCCCACTATATTAGGAAGAAAAAGGAGTCAGAAAAAAAACACCTCATTACAGCTGACATTTATTAATAATGATAGAAGGTTATACTAGAAAGAAAATAACATTTATAATGTCAAGTGCCACTAATGTAATTAAATGTGAGAATCTTGAAAGGTAGCTAAAATGGTACCTCTTCTCAATCTGCTCAGGAAAATGGCTCTAAACCCTGATTTCGCCTTGTTCCTCTTCCCAGCTGATTCTAATAACTAGAGGCGCCTGCTGGTTTTCTACAACTGTAGGCCTCTGGTGATTGAAAAATCACAATTGGAAATCTTTCGCACAAAAAAATGAGGGATAAAAATATGATTGGAAAATCAAAACTTTCTTCCAAGAGAGTTAGCTTTCATTTTCCTCTCTTTTAAGGAAAAATAAAATCATTTTAGCCGGATTAAATATTTTGATTTCTCAATCATGCTCTTAGGAATTTTTGGCTTTAATGACAAGTTTGAGTAGCAAATACTTGAATACCTGTCAAGAAAAGAGCTCTAAAATGGAAAACATTAGCAGTTTGATCAGTAGTAGCTAGGAACATTTTCAGTTCTGAATTTTGGCATTTTTGTCTGTTTTTGCCTTATGTTTTCTTTCTCTGATGAAACATTTTATTTTTTTAACTGCACGTAGTGTATTCTCAATCACTTTTGAAGTCACACAGAGATAATGTGTAGTTTTAGACTGAGGAAATAGCTTTCATTTGTAAGATCTGGATTATATTGTAATTCGCTTTCTTGTTCTGGTGGTTATTTCTCTCTGTATTGAATTAAACAGAAAATGGAAGTAGCCATTAGTAAAGAAACATAACTCAAATAATATCACTACCATCAAAATACATTTTATTGAGTGTCTAGACAAAGAAAAATGGATTGAAGGACAGAAACATGGTAAAGTAGGTCATTTTATAGGTGGAGAAATCAAATCAGAACACATTGGTGTTAACCAAAGGAAATAATATGTAATAATCCAAAGAGGGAATCAATAGCAATGTACAGTAGGATGGGAACACTGAAACATAAGACGTAAAACACATTTTATTTAGTGAACTTCCAAATAGATACAAATATGTGAAATAAAATAAACAGTCATTTAGCATTGAAGCAAGTAGTGATACTTTAACTTGGACCTTGCTACCTTTTTACCTGCAGGAATTATTTTGAATTATCAAAGGAAGATTAAATTATGCTCAATATAATTTAATATTAATGATTATTGGTTGATTGATTGATTGAATAAACAATAAGGGAATACCTATTCCAGTTACAAACTATGGTAATACTTATTAAATTTATCTATTCTACACACATTTTTATATATTTAACAATTCTACTCTTTAAAAGCACTTCATTAATCAGGATATCCTATTCCTTACATGTCTATAAAGTATTAGACATATATCATTTCTAAAATCCCAGACAGCATGGCAGTTTAAAATTGTAATTGAGACCATCTCCAATTCAGTCTCAGTTATGGGTTGTATTGTGTTCCTCCCAGAAGATATGTGAATTCCTACCCCTAGAACCTGTGAATGGGATCTTGTTTAGAAGTAGGGTCTTGGCAGATGTGATCCAGTTAGGATGAGTTCATAGTGTATTATGGTGGATTCTAATCCTGTGACTGGTGAAAGGAAAACAGACAGGAGAAGGCCATTTGAAGCCAGTAGCAGGGACTGGCGTGATGCAACAACAAACCAAGAAACATCAAAGATTGCTGGGAAGCAGCAGAAGCTAGGAGACAGGCATGAAATGAATTCTCCCTCTGGAGCCTGAGAGAGCGCACAGCTCTGTGACACCTTAATTTAGGACTTCTAGCCTCCAGAACTGTGAAACAATAAATTCCTGTTGTTTTAAGCCACCCAGTTTGTGGTACTTCATTATGGCAGCCGTAGGAAACTAATGCAGTCACTGACCCCAGTTTGCAATCTGCATGATCAGGGCAAAAGCAATATAAATTTCACAGCTATCCACATACCCTTTACTACTTTACAGGAGAGAAAATACA